GTTGTGCCTCAAGGCAGGATGCGACCTAACCTGCAGGAAGACATGATGAGCTGTGTAAATGTCACATGCTTGGAAAAGAGGTGACTTGAAAGGCATTATTTTTCTCCTGGGAAAGCAGTAAGGTCATACAGTTGAAGAAGCAAAAGGAATAACTGAGGAACAAGAGAAGTTTCCTGAGATAGGGTTTACATTCATGGTCATGTGAGCTCACAAATGACTTATCTTTTCTCAAAAAGTAAGAGATAAATTATTTCTAGTCCATGTTTTCCAAGAGTTCAAAGTTCCTTCCTACCACAGCTCATTCACCATTTAGCCCCTGCTCTCTTACATGTCAGAATGTTGCTCCTGTTTCCTTCTAAATCACTGATTCTGCACTCACTGAAAGGTGTCTCATCCCCTCACAGTTCATTGCCACCAATAGTGGATCTGGGATGGACTTGCATCTTTGCAAGAGCAAAATCATGCCTGTGGTAGTTTAGCTTCATTATAGTATTTCCAACTATCCCATGAAAAGATATGGTAGAAAACTTAACTGCTGATTCATACAAATTACCTGTTATTAAGTGTTACTTAGCAAGAGTGTTTATGAAACATTAATTTTAACTTGTAGCAAGCTGAAAGGGAAAAGGCACAGGGTATATCAACAGGAAGTGCAGAAGACTACTTTGATTGCAATCTGAAAAGGAAGAGGAAGTGACTCAGGATGCTTTGAAGAAAGTAAGGTGTGTTAAAAGCTCCATGTGCAAAGAGTGTGAAGTTTTTCAAGATTTAAGCTGTGCTAAATGCTATTTCTCTGTAGCTAGCATTTTCCTTGTATACTTTTCTATGCATATTCTGTAGTGCAGAGAATGTAGTCTCCTACACAAGATGTTCTTGGACTTAAACTAATATTAGTTCTAGTAATTGAGATGAATATTTGGAATATACTTTAAATACTTTTATTCTTTTTCCAAACTGCTAGCAAATTTTTCTTCATGTGGAACATCTTCAAGTGAACCAGAGGAATTTCAAAGTACTGATACATGGCACTAATTTTAGATAAAAGTGAAATATGTGACTGATTCCTGCAGTAAGTCCAAAATTTTGAGGGTTTTGTTTTGTTTTTTTTTAATCTCTCAAACTAATCTTTAGATTGTGCAACCAGGCTGGAGTTTACAAAATAGTTTTCATCTGCTATGTTAGTTGGTGTAAAACTCCCCAAATGAAGACAAGTTACTAAAAACATGCTAAAGAGACTTTGTCATGTCTTAAGGTAAAATTGCTAACTTGAGTTTAGTATCACTTAACCTGCATTTTTCAGTTCTCTGTTTGCAGAATTAGGGTGCTGGGTTCCTGTATAAGTCAGGTGAGCATTTAAAAATAGAGAATAAGTAGAAAAGATTTTCTGTCATTGAGAGAAAAAGAGTAGTCATTAGACAAGGATAACTAGTAGACAGAATGCTGTTTCTGTATCCTGCAAGTTTTTCCCAGCAATTACTTCAAATGACTTTGTTTAAGGAAATCTTAGTAAAGCTAGTTATTCTTCAAATCTCAAAACAACATAGGTAAAAATTAGCTGTATCTTATCACCTTAGTAACTCTTATTCTGATTAGCTAAACACCAAATACTTAGACAACAGAGCAATGTCTCAGTTTTACCTAATGGAAAATAGGCAGTTCTTAAAATATCTCATTAATTTTACAGGCACTCAGATTTCTGCCTTTGTTTATATCCACAGCAGTCTGTATTTCAGCAAGGTGGTGCAGTTTGATAGATATGTTCCAGCTCATGATCCCTTTGGGATCCTTACATGAGTCATCTCAGTTTTCCTTAGTTCCTCTTGTGCCAAGAGTAGTGCCAGCATATCAGTAAATAAATGACCTTCTCAGCACTTAGCACAAAGCTATTTTCTGTTCTTGAAAGGAATAATTGAAAGAAGAGGAAGTAGTGGGAATGGTCTTCCAGACATGTTTACTCCTTCAGGAAGTGGAAAAGTTGGAGTTTATAACAGCTTCACCCACTAGAACACAGAAGGGACCTCTGGATGTCATCTTGTCCAACTCCTGCTCAGGCAGAACCAATCTTGAATCATTTGTTCAGGCATGTCCAGATGGGCCAGCTGTGATGGGCACCACACACCTGGGGGAGCCGGACATTCATGTCTGACTGCTCAACATGTCTGGATCCTGGCTGGCAGTCTAGCTCTTACACATAATGGTCCTAATGCAGGCTTAGACCTCCATACAGTGTCAGATATCTTCCTCAAAAAAGGCTATTTTTTTTCACTGTTGTTTTCTAATCTGTATGCTCAGCATAAGCTGCCAATGGTCTCATTGGTCACATCACCCCAGGCCAACATCTCTGACTCTCTCCATGTCCAAAGCCAATTAGCTGTTGTAACCTGCGTTACTATCTGCCTAAATGTGTTACACAGGTGTAAAATTCTTAAGTTTGTTTGAGCTGCCTTATTTCCCTTCTGTGCATACCTAAACCATCAGGGCAGTAATAGCCCAGATATCTTGGGGGTCTTGTTCTTGATATGTTTTCCCAGTAAAAAAAAAGAAAAGAGTCATCTAATGAGTTCAAGCTAGGCACACATAATGTAGGTCTCACTTATCTGAGTGATGCTTTCAGGCAGGGTTTGCTCCATGATAAATGACGGAAAACTTGGGTAGAAATTCACTGGAAAACTAAAACTACTGTTTTTTCAACTGGGCGTTGCTGTGGATGACCTTCCTAATGTAAAAATATTTAAAGTTCAGATTTTGTAGATTGTCAAGACCCAAGCATCCCTAAGGAGAGAAAACTAATTTTAAACAGCGCTGTGCTTAATGAAAGTATGTTTTTAATAATAAGTTTTGAGGGGTTTATGGCTATAAGGGTTGGAAAATTTTTCACATTTCATATAATCTCATAGTCCATTCCAGCATACTCATTTGTATTTACAATTTCCTCTTTATCCATGCTTTTGTTAATATATTATCTTCTGAATATCAGCTGAATTGGCTGGTCTTTTTCAGCCCTGCAAGAAGACTAATTCATTGTGTAATACCAAGTGAGTTTATATTTGAGTAATAAAGAAATATGTGTACTTTCCTGTTAAGCAACATTGAAATTTTTCCAAAAAACACTGTTTCAAGTGCTGAGGGGTGGAACAAACTGAATCAGGGAATCTGACTGTGCCAAGAATTCAAGTGATTCCATTTGGTCAGCTTTTCCAACTTAAAATGTGTTTTCTAAGTTTTCATGGGTTTACCCTCTTAATTGTGGGCAAACTTTGTCATCTCAGTACAGCTGCATTTTTTTAAATTATTCAATTTCAGTAGCATTAAATCACACTTGTATTTTACCCTTAGCATGTATAATATGAACATGATAGAAATAAGTATATTTTTGAAGCCCTTTCAAAGAAGCAGGAGAGATAATGAATAATTTCTTTCTCACAGAGTAAGCTTTCATCATTTTGCTGATAGTTTTATTGGCCCAAACAATCCTGGAATCACAGAACCGCAGAATGGTTTGGGTCAGAAGGTCGATATCCTTCTGTCCTGGGTTCAGCAGTAGCAGTCATTTTTTCTCCTTCTTGGTAGCTGGTGCAGTGCAGTGTTTTGACTTTTCAGCTCGGGAACAGAGCTGATAACAAGCGATGTTTTGGTTTGGCCAAGGACTTTGTGAGCCTCATGCTCTGCCAGGGAGGAGGGGAAGCCAGGAGGAAGCAGAGACAGGACACCTGACCCAAACTGACCAAAGAGGTATTCCATACCACAGCACGTCATGCCCAGGATGCAACTGGGAGTTAGCCGGAAGGGCTGGGAGACTGCAGGGTTGGAGAAGGTATCGGTCGGAGCTTGGTCGGGCTGAGGGGGGGCAAGTTATCGGTCGGCTGGTGCTGAGGTGTTGTATTCTCTTCCCTTGTTATTTCCTTTATCATTATTATCATTGGTGGTAGCAGTAGTGATTTGTGTTATACCTTAGTTACTAAACTGTTCTTATCTCAACCCGTGGGAGTTGCATTCTTTTCGATTCTCCTCTCTGTCCCTCCGGGAGCAGGGGGAGGGCAAGAAAGGGGGGGGAAGTGAGCGAACGAATTACCTGACTGAGTTTAAACCACGACACCTTCTTATGTTGGGGGCCGAGAGCTGAGCACAGTACTGCACGTGATAACGAGAGCAGAGGAGGAAAAATCACCTTCCTTGACCTTGTCTTTACTCTGGCAAAACAAGGAAGTGTCACATAAGAAGTATGTATTTGTCAGGTTGCTACAGGCAGTGTCGTGGATGTGTGTGTGTGTTCCTGCTTTACCTACAGCAATCTCAGCCTTTTTAAATGCTTTTGCAAATGTTTTTAGGGACCTAAGAATTAACAAGCTGGCACTTAACACAGTTTTATACCTCAAGGTCAATTGGAATTTGATGGGTGAGTGCTTTTAGTCTGAACTAAAAGTAAATAGAAATGTTAATGAAACAGATTTTTCTCTGTATGGTGGTGAAAAAGTTCATGTCAGGATTGCAAAATGAAGTCCAATTCCTCATCCAGAAGCACAGCTCAAGTCAAGAAAGGATATGATTCACAGCTGGATGACAAAACCTCCCTGCCCTGTCTTACTGCAAAATGCAGCTGTTCTTGTTTCAGGAGTGGAGCCACAGCTGTCCCCAGAGCTGGGAAGCAGGCATGGGTACCTGAGCTCTATGACTCAAAGCATCCTTAATTCAGTCCTATAGCACTGAGCATATGGAGGCACTATCTGCCCTACTTCATCTACCGTACTTCATCATCTTCTGTGTTTGCAGGTTTCCTACATAATGAACTGTTTCCAAGCACTCCATGGTTGGTTTTGGTTTTGGTTTGTGGTTTTGGGTTGTGTTTGTTTTTTTTTTTTTTGTGGGGGGTGTGTGTGTGTTTTTTTTGTTTGGTGGTGGTTTTGGTTTGTTGGGTTTTTTTTTAATTTCTTTATCCTTCAGATTTTCAGAGAGTAGTCACAAATGCTTAGTTCCCGTTCTTTTTCATTTGGCTGTGGCAGGTGAGAAGCCAGGGACAGAGCAAGATGAAGTTAAGCTGCAGAACGCCAGCAAGCAGATTGTGCAAACTGCTATCCTCCGAGCAGTGCAGCAAGTTTCCCAGGAGAGCCAGCAGAAGGAGAAGAGAACAAACAGCAGTACAAACCTCCAGCTAGAAAGAGGAAAATTAACCAAGAAGCATGAAAAGAAGTAAAGGAGAAGATTGGTTTTTTCAGTCCTCCAGTCTGCATATTTTCAGCCTTCTCTTTAGTATCAGCTGTACTGCTAGTGCAATGTTACTGTCGTAAAGTAAACCAAAGTATAATCACACCTAGACATAGGGTAAAGCTGCAGTAGTCCTCAGCTGAGAAATATTAAGTGCATTAGACGACTAAATCTATATTTATGCAGTGCCTCTTAACAGAAACAATAACCATAGCTATAAAAGTAGTTCCAAGTACAAGCTTTTATGATATGGACTTACTCTGAAAAGCTTGTTGTCAGTGCACTTTCATGTAATTTCTGCGTGCAATGTTTATGTCAGTTCAGCTGGATGGACTCTTCTTTGAGTTACTGGGTTCACTGAAGCTGTCTTCACTGAAGAAATAGCAGAATGCTTTCAGGCTGCTTTGAAGCACGAGTTTGTACTTTGCTTTGATTAAACATGAACTATGCTCGAATAGCAGTATAAAGTAGATTTGGTAAGTTCCGTGAACCAATTTTTTTCTTCATCTTGGGATGGGGGGAAAAGCAATCCAGTAAGACTGTGGTGACTGTGATTTATGACTGTGATCATAGATCTATGGTCTATGTCTTTTTTTAAAGAAGTTAAAAGAAGTACTGAAGTTTTAGCCTACTCATTTGAAATACTTTTTACTTCTGCATAAAAGTCACTCGTGCCTCAACTATTCCTTTAAATTTTCTTGATACTAAGAGAAGAGAAACTGATGTGCTAATATGGAATTCGCCAACTTTTCCTTCAGTTTGGAACTTTGATGGGGCTTGATTTACAGAAAGTTAAGACTGGAGTGGCTTAAAAATAGGGTTTGGATTTATTAATATCTTAAAGGATGGAAATACACTGTGTCTGAATTCTGTTGTGGTAGATATTTCTCACCTGCTGGGCATAAAGTGACTTCAGATATCTACAGTTGTTACATAGATTCACTTTAAATAGCACTGTGTTAAGCTGGTAATACAGAACTTATCCTTTAACTGCTCTATATTGCTGAAGAAATCCATGATTTTTCTGAAGATAGAAATTAAATACATGTAGCTTTAACTTTTATGCTCCCTTACTGTAATGACGATTGCACTATTAACATCTGAAATAAGTAACAGTATATTTAATTCTGGAATAGCTTGTATCTCTGCTTCAACTGAATTATTGTAGTAATACACCTAGAAATACAAAGAAGCAGATACACAGGATCTGCAAAGGAGACAAACTTTTGTAATTGCTTTTCTACTCAGTTAGATGATTCTCAAAGAAACTGATTTAAGTAATTGGTTATAACTTGCTGTGTCCTACTGCTTGTGTTAAACAATTTCAGGATTCTTTCTCATGGCTGGAGGCTTAGTCATGAATAGCCACATTCTGTAATATTAAGTCTTTGAAAATTGCTTGGTTCCTTTTTCTTTTTTTTTTTTTTTTTGTAATTTAACAGCATTGACTATAACAGAAGATGATTTGGCTCAATCTTCTTGTGCTTAAAAGTGCAAAGAAGAATTCAACATGATTAAAGTTTGTCTGAATCCTCTGATAATGGAAACTGACTGAGATTGCAAGTACACAGTTGGTTCACTTCTATAGACAGTGGGTGAGTCTTCCCAGCCAAGCAGACTTTGAAAGGTGGAAGTAATTGTGTCGGGAGGCATGTGCATGTTTGTCATAATGGTTGTCATAATGGTATGTTTTTTTACCATTAGCCTTTTTGTTAATTTGCCTTAGGCTGAGAGGTAGCTCTTTTGTAAGCACTCTTTGCATCTTTGCTTTCTAAGAGCCTAAGAAAACTGATCATGAGTAAAGGTTAAATTCTGAGGCAAATGAGCAGGCAAGCCTAGTGGATGCAGTGCAGTCCTGTTGGAAACACTTCATAGTGCATAACGATGTTTGCCATGGATTCACCTACAGTGCTGTAGGAAGGAGAGCTATAGAACAGGAAAATCCTCATTTCTTGGGAGTTATTTTCTTTTTGTTAATGCCTTTTGTCCCCCTAAATTTGAAATATGTTTCTTTTTTTATATATATATATATATATGTACTTGGTAGTTATTTTAATAATCTGTGTGTAGTTTGGAAATTTTTTGCGTGTCCTATTTTTGTAAGTGTTAAAAAAAGAGGAATTTTAAAACACAGTGAAACCAGGCTTTTGCTGGATCCACTGCTTCATATGAACCTATTCCACTCTCCTCCCACTATGCTCTTCTACAATACCACTTCACTATCCTTGCCCTTTTGGGCACGCTATTGCTCAACCATTAAATGATACCCATCATTTTCAGTGTTGTCAGACATCTAATATCTTGGAAAGATAAAATGGTAGGAAGTCTAAGGAAAAACAAATGCTGTAGCTTAAATAGCATAGTTTTCCCTGAGAGCCAAATAATGTGTCTAGCTATAGTATATATTTCTAAATTAAGGCATGCATTTAGTATTTCTTATTGACAAAAGGTGTTCTGCACACCACTTGCATCCAGGATACGTAGCTGAGATCTGTACTGCACACGAGAGAGTTGCACAGAAGAAAACTTTACCTTTGACTTGTTGTATTCTTACTACATGGTGAAAGCGGGTATTTTTGGTATCTTCACTGACAGATTATATTTTCAGGACAAAACAGAGGTGAGAGAAATTACTACAGATGTGATACAGATCTGATTACAAATAAAAAATCTCAGCTCTTAATATCTTGCATGTCTCTGGTTTCTCTTGTCAAAAGAAGGGAAGCAATTTTCAGATTCACTAGGCAATCTTATGTGTTCATGACAACAATGACAAACATACAATGATAAAACAATGTGTTCATGAGGTTTGTAGTAATCAATGCACTATTCATCTCAATAATTCACATCTGAAAAGTAGAATACAATCAAAATGGTATCTATGTATGTTTAAAACAAATTCACCACCTTTTAGCACTTATCAGTGGTAAGTAGAACGATGCACAAACATGTGAAAGTACATGTATCACATGAAGAAGAATTGGGTGCCTGGAGTTATCCTGCACCGAGCTTGCTGAGTTTTCATTCAGGTTGATTATCACTATTTTATTATGATACATGCGCTATTCTTTGTAAGCAGCAATACCTAAATGGAAATAATGGAAATTCACCTGCAGGATGTTGTAAAAGATTAGTAAATGCCACTGGTCATAAAGTTTTTGGTTCTGTGTGGTTACATTGAAAATCCCTGCTCTAAAATAAAAAAAACAACAACAACCTTGTGCCTTAGAAACAGCTATCTTAATTTTATGTCATAAAAGTAAAAACATAGAAATAGTAATATTAAAGTTAAGAGAGTTAAGAGTTGGAAATCCTTGAATATTTATTCAATAGCAAACAAGGCACCTAAGAATCTTACAGTCTCTACTCATGTTGGTTTTGATGTTATCTTTTCTTTTTTTGGTGACTTGTTGAGTCTCTCAGTTTGTAGTATGTCTACAATGGTAAGTGTATAAAAATAGCTGTGCAACTTTCTTAATATGACTACCATGAAATATGTTGCAGTTGTTCTTTAAATGTGTACTAATGTCAAATATATGGGGTAATATGTCATTACTGAAGGCTTTTCTAAAGAAGTTTAATCTAAATTAGGGGAAAAGATAAGAGGATGTAGCATATATTCTTGAAAGGATGTGGGGTTCATGCTTGCTTATACACTCAGGTCTCAGAAAAAATGAAATTAAGGAAAACATGAATATTGGCATCGCCTAATTTCTCTCAATGGGTTACTGCAAAACAGGGATCAACTGTTAAAATAGTTTCTGGGGATGAGGGGGAAAACCCAAGCTGTTGGTAATGTCTTCTGTATTTGATACTCAGTAAAGAGTGAGCAGCAGTGCTGATGGAGCCTGCTTTCTAATCGATGGGTTTCCTTGTCATCTTTTGGTGCCTCATGATAAGCTCTGGCAGAACCTTTTTCCCTATTTTGGGTTTTCCAGAGCAAAGGGGTTCTCTGAGGTCCAATATGTTTTTAATTTGTGCTGTACCCTGCCTTTCAAAGGGAGCACAAATGAAGTCTCTTTCCTCTACTTCCAGAGCTTTACTCACAAAACCTGGTGGACAAACATGGGCTTTTGTTTTTAGAGACCAACGTATCTTCCCCAGATTTAGTCAACATGAGCAACAATTTCTTTAATCTTTAAGACTGAATGGATGAGCACGCATACTGGCTGTGTTTGAGTGATCTGGGGAACACCAAGAAATAGATACATACTTTAAATGCATTTGCTTCTAAGCTGTTCTTGTCTGCCAGGCAGATTTTGTTTAATTAACATAAGCAGCTTTTCTTTTTTTAATAACTTTTCCTCCAGTGACTTGCTACTTGGATTTTGTTATATGAGCTTGCTAGTTTTAACACTAAACCAATAATAGTTCATGTTTAGTTTGGGTTTGATTAGAACCCCTGTGGAATTACACACTGTGGTGTGGTTTTTGTCTTTTCTTTCATTAAGGTGAGTAGCAACAATAAATAATACCCTAAAGAGAAAGAAGTGTGGGATTTTGTTGTTGTGGTGGTGTTTTGTGTTGTTTTTTTTTCCCTCAGTTGCCTATAGCAGGAGGCCACACAGTGCAGGTCATCACGAATCATTCACATGTGACAGTATCTGGGTGTAGAACTTGTGCAGAAAGAAAATTAACTCTTATGCAAGCTGGAAACTGAACCCACCTAGGCTGATTCTAAAATATTAGAGCAAGACACTCCTGGGAAAAAAATGAGTGCTACTGTGTTGTTCTGAAGACTTAAATGCTACATGCAGGACTTTAAATTGTGTCCTTTGGCAGGGTGACCCACTTGCTCCTGCCCTGAGAAATGAATATCTGCTATTCCATGTGCATATGCATCCCAGAAGCCCCTGTCTCCAGCTGCTATAGTAGATGCACTTGCCATATATTTGCTTAGTAAACATGCCTCCTACTATTGCTTTTTCCCTTCATTTCTTTCATATGAAACAGCTCATTCTGAAAATCCTTAGCCACAGTATGAGCTATGAAAGCCATCTGCTTCCAGAACAGGGAGAATGAATATAATAAATCTTCTTTGCTTCACTGGTGGGATATTAACCTTTTCTCACAGCTCAGTATTTCCAAGGAGGACAACTGTGTTAGTCAGTGCTTCCTTGCCTTTCCTTGCTGAGGGATTACTGATAAAGCAGTGATATTTGCTTCCAAGGCAAAAACTGCTCCTGGGACACAGTTTGCCCTGGCTTGTGACAGTTTACTAGGTTCTGCTGACTTCAGATTTCTGGTAGACTACATACCTGCTTTGAGTTTTTACTTGCTATAGTAGAAAAGCAGACTTTCAAATCTGAATATCTGGAGTGGTGCTTTACCAGCTGAAGAAGTTCATAAGCATGCAGTTCAGCAGCCTTAAGTAAAACGTTGTTGGGTCATGTAATTCCTATGATCATATTTCCCAGAATTACAGATACTTTTATACGGCCACTTTGTTTTACTGAGCACTAGACTTCCTAAATACATAGGCAGGAGCAGGGGGTCATCTTGTCCTCTTTTGTTTAGATCACTGAAACCTGCAGGGAGCAAGAGAAGCTGCACTGTGCAGGAAAATGACCCTCAGTGCTGAGCTACTTTTGTGGCTCTTCCCTCGACCTCATGTATTTTTATTTTCGGACATTCACTTCCAGGCAGTAGTCAAATTGAGAGATCCAGAGAACAGAGATGTCTGAGATACCGGAGGTGCAAGGACCCTCTGTGTCCTTCCATCACCCTCAAATTTAAAGAAATCAGCTCCATGCCATGCTTCCCTCTGGTAAGTGGGTGAAAGAACATGAGACTACAGATTTCCTCAGCAGTTGAGACACTGGGATGCCAGCAAGGAGGCATCAGGAGGCATCCTGTATTCGGGGGGTACACAAACTGTTCCTTCTGTTTGTTAAAGCTGGCTTCAAGGTTCAGTGCCTGAGTCAAGTGGCAATTGCTCATCGCTGAACTCAGAGGAGCTGGATGGATGAGAAAGAAGCATGTCACAGGCCAGGCTCTGGCAAGTAAAACTTTGCAGAAGGCAGTGGGCTTCTACCTAACCAGGAATATTCGTCTACCAGGTGGAATCAATCGAGTCCCTCCTTCTGTGGGGCTGTGTTGGTGCCTTGTTTGGTTTTGTTTAATTAAAGAAAAAAAAAAAAGAAAAGCCCTTGAGTGCTCTGTGTTCACTGCCGGGCAGGGAAGCAAACACCAAAGAAATTTCTACCAAACAGATTTGGAATTCAAGACCACTATTCAGGGTACCTGGCCTCAGAAAAAAAAAAAAACCATTTTTTTTCAAGGCCACATTGGTACATATACTTCTATAATTTGACTTGTGCCTTCAGCCTTTTCTCCTTTGCCTTATAATGCAGGGGACCACTGAAACCTGCAAGATAAAGTTAACCTGCACTGTTTGTTGGTTGGGTAGCGGTGTGCCTGCTTTTTTTACTCCAATTAACCTGTACTGTTGCCTCTCAAGGTCACCTTTTTCCTTGTTCTGAAAAAAATCCTTGATAAAAAAAATACTGGGTCATTCCTGTAGCCCCTGATTTAAGGGGGCTATTTGTGTTCCAATATATCCGAGGCAACATGTTTTTCCTTGATTTAGGCAAAAATCCCTGTCATTATTGCATTTTCTGTTCATTAAACAGTTTTCCCTGTACCTTCATTGTGTAGAAGTAGGATTGTAGAAACTGCCACCACGTTATGATCCTGAAGCTGCTAGAACTGCTGTATATCATGCATGCTAAATCCCTGCTTCCTTGAAAAATCCCTTACTCTTAGAAATCAGATTATACAACTCCATCTAGCTGACAGGCTAGAAGGCTTTTTTGTTTTGGTTTGTTTTTTTTTTTGGTTTGTTTTTGTTTTTTTCTTTTTAAATATCTACATTTTAGTCTATTGGCTTGGAACATTAACCATTCTACTAGGGAGCACAGTGAGAGACTAAGAATTAGGAGCCTAGCTGTTGTGAACTGACTGCATACAAAGCTGATGACATATACCTCCAGGATCTGTGTGACCTGCAATTTGGAGGTACAATAACAAACAGCCCTTCACAGATTATGATATCCAGATACTAGCAGCTTTCACTGTGCAGATGGTGATGCTGTCAGGAAATGTCAGCCTTTGGTTTCCAAACGTCTGTCATATTTCATTAGGGCACACAGATGACTATGTTCCCTCCACTGCTGAGGCTTGATAGCAGGTAACAAATGAGTTCTGCTGGTAATTGCTGTGTTCCTTATTATTTTGTAATCTGTTCCTATCACCCAAACATACATACCTACGA